GGTTGGTTTTATTACGTCTCGCGTTAGCCGCCGCACTACCAATCGCTCGGGGAAGATTCTTCAGACTGTTCGCAATATTTAATTGAGTATTTTACATATGCACGTACATATGTCAGTGTGTATGCTATGGAGTTTCTATAGGTCGCGGGTTGCCTTTTCAGCGCAAAGGACCATGTTTGCTTTTTGGAGTAGCAAAAGGGAGCGCAGGGTGCGCCAGAGATTCTATTTCCGTTGAAATGAAAAGACGAGGAATTTCAATATTACAATTGCTTCGCAAATTATTTTATTGACTTCAATAATTCAGTTTAGTATTAAAAGAGCTAGGTCATTAAAGGTATGACAAAATTTTTCCCGAGGGGCGTTATATGCAAAAAAAGGAAGAGAGGTGCGATGCGGCTGCGACGGCGCGTAAAAAGATACTGATACTAGCAATTTAATTGCGGGCACGAATCACCCCGTGGCCCCGCTTACAATTACAACAAGAACGCTATTTCACCTGACTAATTCACAATGGTGTACAGTAAAATGGCGTTGCCAGCCGCACGCGGATTATGAAACAATAAGCATTAATTGTACAATTCAAACGTTATTAATCGAATTCGATTAAATTTGGACTCATGTCCGCAACAATGGGTTTATATGGACTTCTTCAGAGAATGAACTTTATTTTAATGAAAATTCTTAAAAATAAGTAAATAAAAATAAGTGGAAAACAATATCACTTTGAAATGAGGTGCTTTTGATATGACTGCATGTACATTAGGGTGGTCCAAAAACAGTAGTCGGAATTGTAATGCTCTCACTCCCTAGGATTGTTGTATATAGAAAAGTGTACCCATATTTTTTTTTTAAATCAAAAAATATTTAGTGGTCGTTCAAAGCGCTCAAAGTTTTCCATGTATTTTTGTATGGGAAAAAACAACTTTTCGTAGAAATGGTATAGAATTTTTGAAAATCAATATTTTTCGATCAGAAAACTCTGGTTATTTTCAGGAGACTTTCAATAATAATACGCAATTATTTATTTAACAATTTTTTAATACTAACGATTTTTTATTTGTCCCCCATTGCATTTTTCGGGGTTTTTGGGGTTTTTGGCGGACCTACAAATTATAGTTGCGATGAAAAAAGGTTAAATAAACAATTGGGTATTATTATTGGGAATCCTGCAGCTGAAAAAAGTTTTCCGATAGAAAAATAGTTTTTTTGAATTATATACCATTTCTACCAAAAGTGTTTTTCCCCATATAAAATATGTACATGGGAAACTTTGGGCGCTTTGAGCGACCTCTAACTATTTTTTGATTTCAAAATAAAAAATAGGGATATATTTTTTCGGTATAGAACAATCTTGGGGGGTGAGAGCATAAAAATTCCGACTTTACTTTTTCACATGCATTTTTGGACCCCCCTAATGCACATATATGTTTCTCGTATTTATAAATAGATTCCCTGAGGAAGACGCGAATATGCGTCCAAACGAGTAGGAGGAAAATAAACGTTTATTCTTGTTGTAATAAAATACCGAAAAGCTCCATACACAACATTAAACTCTCAGCTTAGTCGAGGAGAAATAATTATTACATACACGTATGTTTGGTTTTTGTACGGCTGCTAGTACCACTTTATATGAATTCGCTATTCTTCTACGCGAGTATCTGAAATGTGCTACTCTTCCACGCAAAAATCTGAAATGTGCTAGTCTTCCACCCAAAAATCTGAAATGTGCTAGTCTTCCACGCAAATAGTGAAATGTGCTACTCTTCCACGCAAAAATCTGAAAAGTGCTAGTCTTCCACGCAAATAGTGAAATGTGCTACTCTTCCACGCAAAAATCTGAAATGTGCTACTCTTCCACGCAAAATTCTGAAATGTGCTACTCTTCCACGCGAATAGTGAAATGTGCTAGTCTTCCACGCGAAAATCTGAAATGTGCTACTTTTCGACGCGAATAATGAAATGTGCTAGTCTTCGACGCGAAAAGTGAAATGTGCTAGTCTTCCACGGTAATTTGAGATGTGCTACTCTTCGTTGGGAGCGACGATATAAGGTTGTAGCAGCCGTTAAAAAAAAAAAGTTACATAAATATGTATGTTTATACTATAATTATTTTTCTTCGGTCATGCAGAAAGTTTAGTGTTGTATATGGAGCCTTTTGGCCGGTTATTACAAGTAAAATAAACGTTTATTTTTCCTCCTACACCTTTCGACATTCGCGTCTTTCTCAGGGAATCTTTATTTATAAATAAATACGAAAAAACATATACATACAGTATCATATCAAGAGGACCCCGTTTCAAAGTGATATTATTTATGTTATGTTTATTTATTTACTTAAAAAACCTTCAATTAAAATAAAGTTAATTCTCTTAAAAAAATCCATATTGGCCCAAGTTTAAAGCCCAGGAGAATACTAAAAAAACTCAACAAAATTTCAACAACGCAAACGCAAATGAAATATTTTCCTTCGAAGAACTGTCCAAATATTTACATTGGCAAAAAATTAAGATATCACATGTACGGAAAATTACAATAAAAAATAGCAAAAATCAAGTAGACATGGCAGTAAAATACGACTTTATGCAAAGCGAGGAGAAGTTGAACCTAATGAAAAAAAATTTTCAATGGTCAACCATGAAATACTGTGAATTGCCTAAAGCTTACAAGGGAAAAATACCTTTAAAAAAAAGAAAAGTGGATGATATTCAACAAATGATTAGTAAACGGTATATACCGTCTGAATTTCATGATTTTCATAATACAATTAAAGAAATATAGAATAAACGTTTGAATTTTCAATATATATTATGCTTTTATGATTTACTTTAAACCGGAGACGTGCAGTTTTCGCGGCTTAACAATCTGAAATATGCTACTCTTCCAAGCGAAAATCTGAAATGTGCTAGTCTTCCACGCAAAAATCTGAAATGTGCTAGTCTTCCACGCAAATAACGAAATGTGCTAGTCTTCCACGCAAAAATCTGAAATGTGCTAGTCTTCCACGCAAATAACGAAATGTGCTACTCTTCCACGCAAACATCTGAAATGTGCTAGTCTTCCACGCAAATAACGAAATGTGCTAGTCTTCCACGCAAAAATCTGAAATGTGCTAGTCTTCCACGCGATTAGTGAAATGTGCTAGTCTTCCACGCGAGAATCTGAAATGTGCTACTTTTCGACGCGAATAATGAAATGTGCTAGTCTTCGACGCGAATAGTGAAACGTGCTAGTCTTCCACGGTAATTTGAGATGTGCTACTCTTCGTTGGGAGCGACGATATGTGCATACATAAATATATTTTCCCTGCACGATTCATTTCGTTTGTTGTTTCGTCTATAACTACTAAACTACTGTAGTGTACTATCGCCAAAGTGAACTCAGCCGTTTTGTTTCGTATTGTACCGAACTGTTAAAGTAATAAACGAAACGAAATAATAACGTACAATATAGTTTATTTTCGTACACTGGGTGTAAGCCGTTTATTCAAAATATAAATGGCCGTGAACATGTCACGAAAAGTTGGCCATGTCAGGTAATCACCTTTGAATACATCTGTATCGCAGGGTGGGAGATGTATGTTGTTTGAACGAGTTGACATGTCCTCGTTTTCTTTTTCTATTTTTTCTAACCTATCACACAGATCGCTTATTTTCGACATGCAGCGCAAGAAAGCTGAGTAGCTCGTTTTATTTTTTTTTCTTATTGCACTCAGATCCTTTGCAGAAAGTGACTCGGTTATTAGAAGCTCGTCAAATAGAGCTTTGGCTTTATCCCACAGGGTTTTCAGGTCAGCTTGCTGAATTCTCAGCGAGTATATTGAATGCTCATTGCTGGGCGTACTCATAAAATCTATATCAAACTCTATGACGGAGTCGGTCAAGCGATTGAATGTCTCCATATTGGATTTTAATCTGTAAATACGACCTTACTAAAACTTTAAAGTCTTCGATTAGGATAAGCAACACAACAAAAGCGGAATTTCCCAACGCAAATGATCAAAAAGAACAGAAAAACACTACTAAGAACCCCAATTGGTTATAGCAATGGTACCAATAGGATTTTCCACCAAGTCAAGTTTATAAATTAACGTATGCAACCAATTTACTTTATATATGTATGTATGTATGTTTATTAACACCGATTCAAAATATATAAAAATTTATGTATGTATGGATATGTATTTAATTATTGCTCGCCAAACACAATGTCTATATGTATGTATGTAATGTCAAAAATTGAACGCCCGTAAGATAATTTATTTTCCGCAATTATATGGAGCGCCTTTATTTTTTTTAAATATTTATGGACAACTCTATGTGCATATATGTATGAACAACTCAAAACGTGAAAGTGATTTTGTAAATTTAATTTGCTGAAGTGCAATATAGCTTCTAAGCTAGCGCAAGTGCCGTGAAAAAGTGAGGTTATGAGAACCGAACCAAAGGATGCAGTGTTGTTGGTGAATTAACACAAAATGCAAGCAACGAACGAATGTAAATGACTATGCAGAATTTTCCTTATGTGAATTAATTATATTGCTATTAATCACCGAAATTTAAATTGTCGCAAGTTGTTTCACGCTTATTTAAAATACACTGCAACTTTTTGAAATGGCCGTAGCGCGCACTTTTGTATATATGTATATTTTTGTATGCTAACAAGCAAATGAAATATTTTAATGCACTTAAGTCTCTTACTTCACAAAATCACTTTGGTTATTTAGTTTTTCACAATTTATAGTTTTGTGGCGCGAATTTTACACACAAAAAAATATAGTGCAGTGAAATTTTTAACCACGTACCTTATTTTGTCGTTTTAAAACAGGTGTCGAATTTGCTAAAAGCTGCTATATGTTTGTAATTGCTGCAGGTTTTGAATCCTTAAACTGCTCCTGTGGTTAACGTCACTGAATTTTGAATGAGCTGTGTGGAGTGGTATTCTCGCGGATAAGCCTGTCCTGATTGGCATACAACTTGTTGGTGCTGGTGAGAAAACTTTTTCAGTCTCGGCGACAAAGGACCATATTCCTCGGCGCAACGCTTGAGCAATATTTGGGTGCACGTTCGCACCGATGATTAATTTAATGAAAAGAAATTAAAATCTTGGTATTAGTATTACTAAAATAATAGTGTTTATTCACTTAAGTAATTTGTATATATATATATATATATATGTACATATATTTGAATTGCAGATTACCTTGAAATACAAAAGCTGAGCTTGGTGGCTGGATGACGTCCTCTTCGGATACTCGCAAAAGAAGTAAGTGGACCGTTCTTGATTTTAGTTACGGTTGCTTGTCGAACTGTTTATTTGACGAAAGTTTATTGTTGCAGATTTAACAGAGTAGTTAACAGCTCGACAGCAACCGTAATAATTAAGTTATGTCATACATTAGGGTGGGTTGAAAAGTTTTGCAAATTTAGGCCGTTGGCCTAAACATATGTAAAAGAGCTTCTAGTGTGGTCCATATATAAAGATTAATTATTAAGAAATATAAGAGGCCAAGTAGGGGTTAAATTCACTCCCGTTTTATCTTAGGATGCTGCATTTTATATAGAAGAAAATGCTTAGCACCGTCAGTCAAAAACATTATTAAAAAATTATAGTTTACAAAACTAAAACCTCCCTATTATAATTGCCATTCGTACTGTCATCAGGTATGTAACTTGAGAATAGAAATCGCCGAATCTCTTAGGCGCATCAATATTACATAGTTACATCCCGAGCTAATAAAAGGAAGGTAAAAATTAACGCTATTTCCTAATAATATAATAATAGATTGGCGCTTACACATATGTTAGTGTTTGGCCGAGCTTCTCCTCCGATTTGTGCCGTGCGCCTTGATGTTGTCACACAAAGCGCAGGGACCTACGGTTTTACGCCGACTCCGAACGGCGATTGTATTTTTATGAGAAGCTGTTTTTCATGGCAGAAATACACTCGGGGGCTTGCCATTGCCTGCCGAGGGACGACCGCTGTTAATAAAAAAACTTTTTCTATATTTTTTGCGATGTTGCTTTGACCAGGGCTTAAACCCAGGTGCTGATGAGTGAAAGCGCGCACTGCTTACCACTACACCACAGCGGCCGACAACGCTATTTCCTAGTGTCTAGAAATTTTCACTTTCACCTACTGAAATTTAAGGGACTACAAAACTGCATACCTAAAAATTCTGACCAAAAATTTTAAAATTTTTTGGTGTAATTGTTAAAGTTTGTTGATATTTTATAATTTTTGTAAGAAGTTTGAAATGTAGATTTATGTGGTTCTGGTTAGGTAACGTGCTAGACTCTTATAAACACAAGTAAGAGCAGCGCTGTCTTCGACTATGCCGAAGGTTTCATACCTTTCATGAGCATCTGAAAATTGTACTTTAACAGATTACTGCATTTGAAAAAAATTTATATATTCACAGCAGGCATAGATCTCATATATATTCACAGCAGGCATAGTATCTCCTCTAAATATATAAGAAATCATATCTAAACAATCAGAGTGATTTTCACTGCTGTGTGATCGGTATGTAAACCGGTAACACAATTTAATGGGTTAAGCTTCTTACATAAAGGAGATATATCGCAAAAACTGGTATCTGAACAATCAGTGGTATAAGAGTTAAAGCTCATACACCATACATTTTGATGATTTTCTCAGTAGACGTTGTATTATTGTTTATAAAATAGCTTAAGAAATTTATCAGTTTTAACTGTCCAAATAAAGGAGTGTTACAGTAAAACCCCACATCTGAACAATCGGTTGCATGACCGCAATAAACAGGTTATAGTGATCCGATCTTTGTTAATTTTACTGTAAACTTTCTGTTGATAATGAGTGAAAATAATGCGAATTTTATGTTTTTAGCTGCATAAATGGCGAAATTATAACGAAAGTTCTCATAACTGAACAATCAATTGTATGGGAGATATATGTTATAGTGACCCGATCTTTGTTATTTTCACCGTAAGTATTATGTTAATAATGATTGAAAATGGTGCGAATTTTTATGTTCCTAGCTGCATAAATGAAGAAGTTATGGCAAAAAATCTCATATCTGAACAATCAGTTGTATGGTAGATATAGGTTATAGCGACCCGATCTTCGCCATTTTCACCGAAAGTATTCTTTTGAAAATGAGTGACCACTGTGCAAAATTTCATGTGCCTAGCTACTTAAATGGAGGAGTTATAACTAAAAAGCTTATATCTGAACAATCAGTTGTATGAGAGCTATAGGTTATAGTAACTCGATCTTTGTAATTTTCACTCTAAATTTTGTGTTGATAATGGGTGGAAGTATTGAAAAATTTCATGTTCCTAGCTGCATAAATGGAGAAGTTTTAACGAAAAATCTCATATCTGAACAATCAGTTGAATGGGAGCTATATGTTATAGTGGTCCGATTCTTCCGGTTCCGACAAATGATTAATACATTATAAAAATACACCCACCTACCAAATTTGATCCGGATATCTCGAAAACTGAGAGACTAGATTGCATACAAACAGACGGACAGACAGACAGACAGACAGACAGACGGACAGACGGACATGGCTAAATCGACTCAGCTCGCCGTTCTGATTATTTAAGTATACATTTTAATGGGTCTATCTCTTCTTATTCTGGTACTTACAAACATCGGACCAAAGTTATAATACCATTTCATGCTCATGAAAGGTATAAAAAAAAACTATAACCATCAGACTAACAAAATAAAAAACCAAAACTGGTCAAAATGTAACTTAGCTGAATCAGCTGACCACAAGGGTATATAGATAATGGACGAGTCCACGCATGCCCCCTTCCTAACGTGCGTCCACCTCAACAAACCTTGTTAGCCCTGCAAACCTACCTCTGACAATTGTCCCACAAATAGCTGTCACGGGTGGCACATACTTCTCTGTTGAGTTATTCTTATATAACTACGTGGAAACGACAATGCAATTATGATAAATATTTGCAATGATATTCTAACATCCTGTAACAAACACGAAACACAACCTCAACTTCTGTAATTAAATATAACAACCTTTAGCTTTTTTTGTCACGGGTGGGACAAGACCAATTCTGCTTAATAATAATTCATAATATAGATAAAGCAGTCACAAAATTTAATATATGGGTAAGGCTTCCTCAAGTGGGCACCGAATTTACCAACATTAATGATTTTCAATGATGTTCAAACTAGATCGAAATGCACGCATTTTTTTCATAGATAAATTTTCGTCCTCGAAGCGCAGAAATTGCTTAAAAATTCAATTTTTTATTGATTGAAAAGCAAAAAAAAAATATTTTTGCATCGCAAATAATTTCATTGTATAGTTTAATGTTTCCTAAACCTGCACCCAAAAAATTTTTTCATTCGGACTCTTACTTTCAAAGAAAAATAAAAATTTCCAAAACACTGCAAAAATTTTCAATTGTTGATTAAAAAAAAAAACTATTTGGAATTTTGCAACAAAAATTACACAGTGTACTGTTCGACTACAAAACTCGGCGCTGCCGGAATATCATTGAAAAATATTAATGTTGGTAAATTCGGTGCCCACTTGAGGAAGCCTTACCCATATAACATAATTTTATTAAAAGCAGATGGTTTCTACTATATATTTTTCTTACCAAACACTTGAATTATGAATCGCAAATTATTTGACATTGCATTCAACACAACCTATTTTTAACTAAATCAACAAATTTACTTAGAATCTGATTTCAAAAGGTGAAAAAAGGTAATAAAGCATTAAAGCTTTGTTACTTTTTGGTTGATTCAGGATTTTACAACTGTCTTATCCACACGTTCGTTAGTTATGGAAAATCAGGGGTTTTACACACCTCTAAAGAAAATTGTTTTTGATTTTACAGGTATATGTAAATGTACCTTCAATTAAGACGTTTTTGCAATAAAAATTATGCTCAAGATCACATAAGTTTTTAGCTTTAAAAGATCGTTTATTCTGAAAGCACACCTCTTGCTAAGGTATCAAATGATTCGCAATTGTTTGTAGAATACAACAAATACTTAAAAAGTTTTTAAAGTAAAATTTTTAAAAAACTCTACGCAATAAACCGAAAATTTTGAAAATTGTGAAAAGTAGAGTTACACACTTTTTGTTACTTGTCATTTAGTTATTTTTTAAAGCACACTTTAGTTACCAACTACATACGAAGTGTACACATACACAAGTACTAATTGCACATAAAATTTCAAACCAGTATCTGGTGTGCTTCAATAGTTGTGACATAATTAATTGTGCCCTTTCATAAAAATTACATAAAAAATTCGGTTGTTTTCACAACGTTTTTTTTATTTAAATACCTATAATTCAAAAGTTATGCAGTAAATTTATCAAAATTTTTATTTTTTTTTTTTTCGAGGCCTCAAGTATACGTCTATGAATAGTGTCCAAAAGCAACCATCTTGATGTAGTTTACAACAATAAAAATAAAGCTAAATAACTCAAAGGCTACCTGTTTTTTAGATTTGTCCATATCCGTTATGCCTTTCGGCAGCGGGCGGATTAAAAATTGAATAAAAATCGTACAGCTGACTGCAGTTTACCAACTACCAGAAAAATTGTCAAGCTTCCTTCGATAATAAAATAATTTTACACAAACAAACGGTGTGTCCCTACTTTAAAACTGGATCAAAATCTTAAAAAAATTCACACCAGTAGAGTTAAACTATTTAAAAGTAATTGTGTTTTAAATTGTCATTAACAATTGCAAATCCACTTTTCTTAATCCATATTCCAGTTGGTTTTGTATTGTGTGGTCATATTTATTGAACCTTTGTATTATATTTATTTGCACCTTTGTATAATTGATGCATCTATGTTAATAGATGCATTGAAGTAGAGTTGGACACGGGCCGGGCGTAAGCAAGCG